ATTTTGTGTAAGACAAAATATATAAATTAGTTATTTATTTAATACCAATTTCATGACCACAGAAAAAATATAATGTGGTCTCAAAGATTAAAAGATTAATTTTTATCTCCATAGCTTTTTTATGATAACACAAAATGAGCCTATACATTAGAAAAATTTGCAAGTCAAGTAAGGAGAATTTAGGCAAAGGCAAAATTAGCTGGAAAAAAAAAGGAGTGTTTGTTTTTACATTAAAACTGGAACACTCCAAAATGTCCCTTTCACTGTTCTTTTCAAATTATTCGTTCTAAAGCTTTATGTATTAAGGTATAAAATTAATGATCCTACTTACTTCAGAATGGGTTCAGAATTATTAGCAACTCTTTCAAAAATTATTTTTTTAAAAAGCACTGCAGTAAAATCAGTAAACTGTAACCGTACATTTTTATTTCTGCAGAGAAAAAATTAAACGAACTGAAAAAGAAAAAGCAAACGATAGAGCCACTATAAATAGCTTAAAAGATATTAATTAGTTCTTTTCTCATTTTTATTACCAAAAATGGGCATTTTCGACGCCATTTTTCCTCTTTTATTTCAACAAAAAAGGTTTGTCAGTTTTACTAATGATTAGAGAAAGAACATATTTAGCATTCTCAGATGATATTTTTTAATTTATATTATTGGTTCTGTACTTAGAAATGTATTTTGATTATTCGAAAGATTTCTCCGTCATTTGCTTTCAAGTGAAATTAAAAGAATTCTGTAATGATTTTTCAAGATTCATTACCTGTTACTTAACTGGTATGTTTTTAAGTTAAATTACATTGAGTATTTTCTTCATTGTGATCCTTTAATTTTTCCGAATCAATTTGCTTGTGAAATGTTTCGTTTTCAAAGGCGATAGATAAACATAAGTATATCTCTATTGAACTAGTATTAGAATTATTAATTTAATTCAGTTGTTTTTATCTAAAAACAAAGCATCGAAAATTTATTGAGAAATTTGAAAGAAAGTGTATTAAAGTTTATTTTGATAATTCAAATTTTTTTTCCTCTTTTGCATTCTAGTAAAACAAAAAGAACGTAAATATGATTCTTTTCAAAATTTATTACCTCATGAAGATATATACTCATAAGTTCATCTCCATTGCACTTGTTTTAAAGCTATTTGTTTAATTTAGTTGTTTTTATTTAAAAGCATAAATTAGAAAATTTATTGAGAAGTTCAATATAAGGTATTAAAGTTAATTTTTATTACTTAAAATTTTTTTTGATCTGCTTTTATCAAAAAACAAACATGGAAAAGTTATTGAAAAAGTATAAAGAAAAGTATTAAAGTTTCTCTTGAAAATTAAAATTTTTTTCGTCTTTTGCAGTCTAGTGAAGTGAAAAGAATTTAATTAGTTATTTTTTCAAGATTTTTCCAAGAACCTATTACTCAGCGGGCATTCACTGTTACATAGAAATGTTATTGAAAAGAACATAACTATTTTGATTCACTACTCAAAATCAACTAAATCCATATTCGTTCTTTTTTTTAAATTTTCTCTCCTCGAAATTTTCGAGAGCACAAAATAACAAAGCCGATTTTGAAAATAAACGTCTCAATATCGTTTTTTTAACTTTTTAACAAGTTGCTTAAGTTCTTAAATTAAGTAAGATAATTAAATAAGATTATTTATTACCTGTCTGGCAATTCTAACCAAAGATTATAACTCATTTTGAGATATTTCTTTAAAAAATTTTATTACAGAATTCTATGTTCCTTAAAAATATTTCAAGAATAAAGTAAGTATGAATAAGTTAAAAGCCAAAAGAAAGCCTTTAGTGCAACTAAACTATAAAAAAAAAAAAAAAAAAAAAAAAAAAAAAAAAAGAAAGGAAAGAAAGAAAGAGTGCATAAAAAATGAAAAAATTCAGTGTTTACATCAAAACTGGCTCAATTCAGCGCACTTTTTTTAATTATTCTGAGGACTGTAATATTTTTGACAGAGATCGTGAGTTCGAATCCCACCGGCACGTTAAATCTGTCGGGATCACAAAGTCCTCCAAGTTCCCATAGCGAATCAATAACACTGTAGTTCAATTCTCCAAATAGAGCTTTCGCTTTCGAATGAGGTGAACCGGGTTCGAATCCTAGCGATAGCTGGTCGACGCCCGGCTCGCACCTACCACAGTGCAGGTTGGTGCGAGCTGGTAGAATGATCATGGGAAAGATTCGATTTGCCGTCAGGCTAGCAGTTGGATGTCTTCATGGTTTTCGTCTCCATGTAACGCAGATGCTGTTTAGTTTCATTAAAAAGTTCTCCACGAAGGTAAATTTCTCCCAATACTTGATCCAGCCTTGTCTTCTGAATTGGGTTCAGAATTACGAGATTACGGAATTGAATATTAGTAGTCGTAAACCCAGAACTTGCGTCGGCTGTTCATGTAAACAAAAAATATATTAAAATACCTCTGGGGGTATTGAATTGGACATAGATCGTTCTCTGGGTCAGGTCAAAATTACGATCTGTGGGGGAATAAGTGGATTATGAATGGGCCCTCCCTGTAAAACGGGCTGTGACGTGTGTAGGACTGAAGTAGTGTTCTTGGCCATAGATTGCGCCACTGTAAAAACAAGAAAAATGCCCTCTACTTTGAAATCGCTTCGACTCCCAAAGCAGGCTTGATGGTATTGCTAAGGTATTGCTGGTATAGACAAGTGACATTAGTAACAACAACAACAACAACAGAATACTAAGATACTTTTAGAGTTGTAAATTACTGTAATAGTTTGTAAGTTATGCAAACTTTGAAAGATTATTTTACCATATCATTCATTTTCTAACTGTTGTTCCAACTTTAAAAATCGCCACTTTCGATCCATTTCAAGCAAGAATTAAGTTGTAATCAAGTCAAGCAAGAATTAAGTTGTATCTATAAGTTGTAATCTTATTTTACGATGTTTTTTATTGAACATGTAAATCTAGATTTTCTTTAATATTAGATAAATTTTGACTAATTTATATTCTCCAAAAATAAAATAAATAAATCTTTCTTAAACTGCTAAAACAAGTTCCAGTAAACGTCACATATATAATCACTGCTCGGTAAAATCAGTCGCTTTTTAAAACCAGATTTGCAAGATCAAAATCATTTCAATATCAAAACACGTTCGAATCAACTTCTAATAAAATGATTTTCACTGTTCTAAAAAATTAAAAACGAGTTTATTTTGTCGAAAAAAGTGAAACCAGTATATTGAACAATATTGAACTAGATTCTACTCATGCTCTAAAACGATTCAGCAATGAATAAAAGTTGGAATTAAAGTTTAATTTTCGTTTTAAATCTAATTTGGTTGCGGCAGCATGTCACAACAAAAAGATTTGAGTCTCAACTATAAATTAAAAATGAATTCGAATTTATTCCTGACGATGTGAAATTGAAAGTTACCAAAATTTTTATAATTCTTCAAACGATGTTGACTCTTTAACTTCAAAACTTGTCAATCAAACGATAATAGGCCAAAATTTTGAAATTCTTTTGTGAATGTTTAATCAAAATAACAACTGTAATTTAAAACAGTTAAAATAAAATATGAATGTAGAATTTGATTTATCTTTAATTGTAAAGTAAAACATCTATTTGAATAAAACAGAATGTTTATCTGTATATATGTGTGTTTGTACCGTATACAAATCTGCAAGTTTTAACAGAACCATACCAAATTTGGTGAACGGTACACCAGAAAAAAGGGATAGTCCTGAATAACTTTTAATCTAATAATCGGATCGTCATCATGTTGTAGGACTCAAACTTAATGGTTAGAGATGACTTCAGATATGCTGATTAGTTAGCGCAGAAGATATTTTAAGTTACGAAATCAGATTCAAAATCGTACTTTCTCTGAATAAACATACCTCTTTTTTTCCCCAACGGATTCGAATTTCTGATCCCCAAATATAGGGGATAGCCGCAATCTGGCAAATATGGTCCCCGAAGTTTGGTAAGGAGAGCGATCCAAAGTTTAGACCGCATAAAGTTAATTTAACTTCTTGCGTATATCGTCATAACTCAATATTTCACGCGAATTGAAAAATTTTTGCACACAACTATAAAATTCGTTTATCGAAAGACAATTCCATGCAAAAAATAACTTTTAGTAAATATTTATTATTTTTTTATTATTTTACGAAAAAAATTTGAATTGTAAAGTGATACAATTTTTACATCACACAGTATCTATATAAGGCACCTATATTGGCATAATAGGTTTTTATTATTACAGCTCCCATAACGGCATTATCGGTAGTATTTAATACCGCATTTAGTTAAGCATCATACTCGTAAATAAAATTCGATTAATAAATTGCAAAAAAATTTAAAATTTAAAAAATTAAAATTAATTTTAATTAATTTAATTAAAATTAATTTTTACATTATTAGTTTTATCGCCCATTTTTTAACAAATAAACATTTTTAAAGTTTTGAAAGTATGATTTTTTTAAAAAGTTTTTGGTTTGTTAAATAATTAATTTAAACTTAATATAGTTTCTTCCTTAATATAGTATAGTAATTCTTATTTTAACTGGCATGTTATAAAAAGAGTATGGCATTGTGACAATAAACTTATATTTAATTCCAAGTTATTTATGTTTAAATCTTATCCTTTTAAAAAGAGCAATTTACTGTACTTAAATTTCCAATATGTCTGAACTGTTCCTTTCTTATTTAATAAATAAAATTTAATTTAAATGAAGTTTTCTTTGTTTCTATTTTTATACTATTTTGATGATTTTTTTTAAAGTTAACACTATTTTTTGCTCATTAATAATTCAACCTATACTGTTTCTTATCATGTTTTGTTTTTATACTTTAACTGTGTGGCGGAAAATATGTTTTTAATACAAATTGAAGAGTAGAATTACTATGAAGTATACAAATAAAATATCCCGTAGAAACAAAAGGAACGGAATTAAAAAAATAAGTAAAAAACCAAATGGCCTAGACAGAAATGCAGTCACGTGACTGAAACCAGTCGAAGCAAAGTACCGGCATGCTTTGCGCGCAGAAAGCGGCGTGCCTGTCTTCGTTTCCTATGTTTTCATTCGTTCAAGAGTTGATCAAAGAATAAGTTCAATAAGCAGAACTGTGTCAACCCGGATTTAATTTTTTTTATCAAAATCTTGAAAAGTTCCGATTTTTGTTTTTTATCGATTTGAAAAAAATATTTTTAATTCATATTTCTTTAATGCTTGAATTGGGATTATTTTTTTATATACATATCACTGTTTAAATAGAATTAAGGCCTCAAAACTCATTTTAAAAATATGCTAATGATTCGAATAAGGTGATTGAACTTATGAATTTGATGTAAAATAATATAAATTATGAGTGATTTTAATTTGTACTGGGATTATTAAAAATCGTGGCTGCTTTGGATTACCTTCATGTTAAAATGTGAAAGAATTTTAATTGAACAACATTTTGCAGAGTGTTTTGTGTTCTATTTGTTCCAAGCTTGGTAAGTCCAGTTTTAATTTTTATTTGTTGAATATTTTAAATTAGTTGATTTAAAAATGTATTTTAAAGTATTTAATTATATTTGGGACTTAAGTTTCGTATTTAAAATTTAAGTTATTTTATTTTGGTTTTTTGAAGTGCATGATTTTATTTTTATTCGTTAAATATTTTAAATTAAGAATTTTCAAAAAAAAATTATATTTTAGATATTTTAATTATTTTTGGAACTTTGTTTTTGCATTTAAAATATGAGGCTTTTTAATAATTTTTTTAAAAATATGCGTGTTTTTATTTTTATACGTTAAATATGTCAAGATTATAATTAAGAAGAATACTTTTAACCATTTTCTTAACTATTTGTGAGACTTAGTTTTAGAGTTATAAGTTTGAGTCGTGTTATTTCTATTTTCTTTAGACAGCGCATACTTTTTTCAAAGATCTCTTTAACTTAACGATTGGCTTGAAAATTATTTTATTTGCGTTAGCATTTAAAAAATAATGCAAAACAAGATTTCCAAAAAATATAAGATTTCCCTTCCAATAATTCCTAATCGTTCGTCTGCCGTGCGTTAATAAGATCTACTAATTGATCGCAGTTGAATAAATTGAAAGGTTGAAAAATTTGTAGATACAAATCAAATCACAGAAATTCCCAATAATGTTTTTTTTTTCTTTTATAGCATAATCTTAGTTTAAAAACCCGAAAATTATAATATAATCAATAATTAATTTTCCAAAACTAATTTATTGTTTTATCTATAAGTTACTCATAATAATATCATTATATACATAAATTTATTGAGAAATTTTAAAACTAATTTTTTCGAAAATAATTTAACTGTTACTGGTTCAATTTTATTTATGAGTCAGTTCATATTTTCACACGAAAAAATTGCAGACAACTCAGAATGAAACTATTCATAAACTCTAACGATATTTTTTTATAATCTTTATTCATTTTGATTTTAATTACATTGCTGTTTGCCCAGAGAACACAAACACATCATTGTAAATTAGAATGTAATATTGCTATCGCATTTAGAGTATGCTTAAATAAACACGTTAAAAATTACGTTTGAGTTTAATTTCTTTATTTTTTCTAAACTGTGAGAAAGACGAATAATTCTCAGAGAAAAAAATTTGCTATGATATAAATACAAACAAACTTTATTTGGGAAACGAACAACAACACAAAAAAAATTTCTTATTTAATCGTATCTTTTTCGAATAAATTAGAATTGCAAGAAAAATAGTGATTTTATTTTACAAGCAAATATTGACTTAAATGTTATTCAACTTTTTTACTATTGTTATTTTAAGCAAGCAGAAAAGCTTTTCAATTTTTATTTTAGTTTTCATAATAACTAATGTTTTATAAAAAGTGAAATAACTTTGAAATTATTCAGGCGTTTCTTAAATTTTCATTAAAACATAACTATTAAATAAGTAAGTTGTACAAAAATAATTTTTTAATGGTGATTTAAACATATTCATTAAATTGTATTCGAAGGAAAAGCTTTAATATTTTTTTAATTTTCTTTAATTTTAATTATTATACTAATTAGTACTTTTTTGATAAAAATAAAGTCTGCTTTGAGCCTATTCAGACGCCTAGCACTTAGGGTGCCTGCACGCAAAGTCAATGGTCGCTGGTTCGTATCCCGCTCTGGACATTGGTGTTTTTCTCTGTATATGAGTGTAACATTTCTGGCGTCTTCTGTGGCAAAGAACGTAAATCAGGTCAGCGCCAACCATTAGGAAATAAAAGCTTTTTCAGGCTGTTGATTTATGTCTTCATTCCTTAAACAATTTTCTTTAATACCGAAAGTAAGCTATAAAAAATTCCAAAAAATTGAAATTAAATATACTATAAATGTTAGATTTTTAAACACGTATTCTATCTTAAAAATACGATTAAATAATTAACATGGTTAAAACAATTATTGGGGTTATAATTAAAAGGAAAACCTCTCTAAATTTGCCTATCCACTTTTAACATTAAGTAATAGAAACCTTAAAATGGCTAAAATATGGGTGTTCAAGTTTCTCTTGTAGTTTTCGTTTTGTTTTACAATGATAATTTTCTAAACCTAAAAAAAAACTTAATTCAACACACAGCTCTAATGGTCCCACAAATATATTTTATACATAATTTCATTTGTGTAAGATACTAAAAGGTTTCTTCTTTTAAAAAATATTTTACTCTTAGAAATATTTTTTATGCAGCTATTATTAAGGCCTTTTACTTTTTTAAAATTTCTTAGACATTCCAAAAGTATAGCAAATTATTTCTTGTGCTTTCACTATATATTCCAGAAATTTATCTTAGAATTATTTCGCTTCAGCTATTTTACAAATTTCATTGAGATATCGTTTGCATCATAAAGTACATTGTTCCAAACATAAACATAAAAAACATTCAAACATAAAACATAAAAAACATTCAAACATGAAACATAAAAAACATTCAAATCGTCTGCTGTTTAATAACTAATCGGGTATAAGAAGAATTAATATACGGATATATTTGTTTAAAACCTTGCTTTACACTTACAAATTGTGTAAGAGAAACTTTTTATCGCGTCAAGTGATAAAAACAGGATATTAATAGTGCAAAGTGAAACTCTATAATGTGTTGTGATAGTGAAAATCTTGAGATATTGCTTTGGAAGTTGTATGCTTAGTTCCGTTATCTCACTTAAATTATGTCTTTAATACGATTTTTCACACAAAGAAAACAGTAGAGATTTAAAAACAAGGTTGCCGTTAATACAAACACATGAAACCTTATTAATTAATATTATTTTATTTTATAATCGTCGTTGATCAGCCGATCCAATTTTTTTACGACTATTAATGTTCAACTACGTAGCCTTGTAATTTTGAATCCCATCCAGAAGACAAGGGAACTTCTGGATCAAGTATTAGAAAAAGACTTCATGGAAGATTTTTTTTTGATGGAACTAACTCTAATTTGCGTTATAGAACTTCCCACGGCTAGCCTGATGGTAAGTGGACTCTAACCCAACATCCGTCTACCACTGAAGATATTTTACGTCGGCACTGTGGTCGGTGCAAGCCGGCTGCGGAATTCGTATCGATCAGCCATTACTGGGATTCGAACCCGGTTCACCTCATTGGAAGGCGAAAGCTTTATCCCATGAGCCATCGTGCCTCAATTACAATTATTTGTTATAGGAAAAAAAATTTCTAATACTTTCAGTTGAACCAGGAGTAGATGCAGGCACTTTAAATATTTTTAAAAGAAAATACCTTAGGCCTATTTTTTTCCAGAAGAGAGGCTTATAGCTAAGCTAGATTTTAACTTTGAGTTATATAGACTCTATAAGCAGTCACAAATAACACTCGAACAATAACTTAAGATTGCTCGGCCTTGTCTGGAGAATTTTGTTAAAATCACCAATTTTAAAAATCCTATGGAATCTCGAACCACAAGAACATCCCCAGCTGGATGGTTAGAAGATACTGTAAAATACATAATTTCTTGAAAGTAAAAAGGAATTTGAAAAGGAATCGTTAATGGATAGGAAACGTTGATAATAGCGTGTAGTAGAGACAGCCAAAGCCTACAGAGGGCTGCCGTGCTCGTAGAGAAGGAGAACTTGGAAATATTAAAATTTTAAGCACTTGTTTAACAATGTTTTAGATAAAAACTCCTTAAATTTTCCCAATATGAGTGCTCATAACTGCATAAAGTGACATTTTAGTCAAATTAAATAGTTTAGTTGTTGCTCTTTTCAATAATTTCAAACTCTTTTGAATATTTATTTTATTTGTTGAGGTATAAGACAGAAAATTTATGGACTGGAATGATATGAGCAACCAATTTTAATGCGGGAATTTTTTTTATTTGTGTCCATAGTATCTGCTTTAACATAAATATAACTTGATATTTTTTTTGCTTTTTAAATGGAAACGATGTCAAGTGTAATTATATCTACTCAGTTGGCAAAACTAACAACTTGAATTATTTTTGATTTAATGATCGGATTTTCATGTATAGATTTTGTGAAAAAACATATGATTTATGACTTACTATACCTCAATAAGTGGAAGTCATTTATATGAAATCAGATTCAAAAACATACTTTCTTAAAACATGCCTTTTTTTTCGTCGAGTTAAGTTTTTAAAATCATGTGTGAAATGAAAAATATTTTAAGAATTCCTGTTTATTTTTTTAAAAAAAATATTTGAATTTGTAAGGAAAAAAACATTATGCCTTGTTAGTTAATTCCCACTTCTCTCTTTTAGCTCCTTAGTATGCTACCAGAAGATCTTAATTCTGATTCTTAAGATATTTCCAAATGCACTGAGATCTTTAAATATTTAAAAGTGAACTAATGTAGTTAACTTAATATAGTTACTGAACTATATTAAGTTAAAAAATAAGAATAAAATAAAAACTTCTCTAACGAAATCTGTTTTTTTTTTCTTTCTAAAGTGTCACTTAGAACTTTTTCCTCCAAGCTTTCGAAAAAAGGCGCACTTTTTTTTAATCAAGTCTGATTTTAAATTAGGTAAATTAAATTTAATCTTCATATGAATCTAATGAAAAACCAGTTGTTTATTTGTATCGGTAAAAGCAGTGAGTCTTTTGAAATAAATTATATATAATCTAATTAAATATTTAAAATATTTTAATTCTATAAAAAAAACATTGCTCTAAGAATTTAATATTTCTCTTTTAATTTAATTAAGCTCCACTATAATGAATAATAGATTAATTTTATTTGGAATCTTTTTCATAGGTGAATAAACTATATTGTACTTTTTGAATGTTCAATTCGCTTTCTTTTAAATTAACCGTCAACTTTTTCCAAGTTCATAGGGTACTGAAGTTAAAAAGTAATTCCTTCTCCTTGATAATGCGAAATTTTTCAATCATGCATATTTTTTATCAGATCTGATTTTAAATTAAGCAAATTAAATTTAAACTTCGTATGATTCTAATGAAAAACCAATTGCTTATTTGTAGCGTT